GACGAGGGTCGCCGCCCGCTGCGGGATGTTCTTTGTCAAGAAGAAGTCTGGGCAGCTCCGCCTCGTCCTCGACGCGAGGCCGGCGAACGCTGTCCACCGCCGGGCGCCCTACACCAAGCTGGCCACCACTGGGGCCGTGGGGTCGCTCATCCACGACCCGGGCTATGTGGCCGCTGCTGCCTGAGACGCTGCCGGAGCTGACGGCGCGGCGCGGCCCGCCCCGGCTCAGGGCGCGTGCCGCTCCCAGGAGCTGTGGGGAGGCTCCATCGACCTCCAGGACGGCTTCTACCAGTTCCTGGTGCCGACGGTCTCGCACTACTTCGGCCTGGGGCTCCAGGACACCGCTGGGGCGCTGGGGGTGGAGACTGTGTTTGACCCCGACCTCGGGCGCGACGTGGCCGTCGCCGAGGACACCATCCTGGAGGCGTGCTTCGCGGGCCTGCCTATGGGTTGGAGCTGGGCGCTGTCCTTCTGCCACAGCGCCGTGTGCGAGGCCTGCCGTCGGGCTCAGTGGTCGCTGGGGCTTCCCGAGTACCTCCTGGGGGACAGGGAGCCGCCCCCGCCGCTGGCCCCTGGGACAGCGATCTGCGCCCCCTACGTCGACAACGCCAACGTCATCGGGGGTGACAAGGCCTCCGTCGCCCGCCTCCTCTCCGCCGCGGTCCACGAGCTGGAGGAGGCGGGCCTCGCGGTGCACGAGCGCGTCGACCCCTGCCTGGACTTCGAGGCGCTCGGCCTGCACTTCGACGGACGCCGCTCTTGGATCCGCCCCACCTCCCGACGATCGTGGAGACTCTGGTATGGACTCGGCACGCTGCTCCAGGTCAAGGCCATCTCCCCGGACCACATACACCGCCTCTTGGGGCATTTATGCCAGCAGTTCTGTCTGCGCAGGTGCCTCCTCTCGGTGCTCGGGGAGCGCTACCGTTTCGTCGGCAAGGGGGGCTCCGCGGTGCGACCACTGCCGGAGGGGGCCCTCGCCGAGCTGGCCGTCGCCCGCGGCCTGTGCCTCTTCGCGCACGTCGACATCGCGGGCGAGATGCTCGGCCGGGCCTACTGCGGCGACGCCTCCACCGAAGGGTACGCCTTCCACTTCACCGCCGCGGACCCAGCCAGCCTCTGGCGGGAGGCAGTCTGGCGCGAGCGGTGGCGCTTCGTGGACGACGACGGCGGGCCCGCGGCTACGACCGCGGCCATCCGTGGTGCCGAGGTCGCCCCCCTCTTGCCCGAGGGCGCCTTCTTCTCCCGCTGGGTCGCCGACTCGCTGCAGCCGCTGCCCACCGAGGCCCCGCTGCAGGCTGGCGATCCCCGCTCCCGCCGCCCGCCCCGCGACTTCCGAGAGCGGGTGGGCCTGGTGCCTCCGATCGCGGCGGAGTGGGCGCGGCCCAGCCGCTGGCGCCGTGGGGCCGTGGGCTCCTGGCGGCGCCCGGCGGCGATCCACTGCAAGGAGGCGCGGGCGGCCCTCCTCGGCCTCGACCGCGAGGCGCGCGACGCCCAGTCGCACGGATGCCACCTCGTCTCCTTCGGCGACAACCTGTCGGAGATCCTGGCGCTTGATCGGGGTCGGGCGAGGGACAAGGGGCTGCTGGCTCTCACCCGCCGCGCGTGCGCCCTCCAGATCGGCGCGGGCATCACCTGGCATCGGCGCTACGTGGAGACCGAGCGCATCCCGTCGGACTTCGACTCCCGCCTGGCCGGGCGGGGCCTGGTGCCCTTCGGGCGCCGTGCGCCGGGGGCGCTCCTCCGCCAGCTGCCCCTGGCCGCCGCCGTGGGGCCGGAGTGGCAGGCGGAGGCAGCTGCGCCCCCCGGGCGCCCTTGCGGGGAGGCCGCGGCCGCTGGAGGCCGACGGCCCGCGGCGCCGGCCGCCAGGGGGGCCCATTCGCCGGGCAAGGGGGGGGGGATTCAGCCCTCCAAAGTCACAACCCCTTGCCCGGCTCCCCCGCCGCGGCCGCCGCGGCCGCCCGCAGACTCTGGCGCCCGCGGGCGCTCCGCCTGGCCCGCCTCGCGGCCGGCGTTCCTGGAGCTCTACTCCGGCTGCGGCGCAGCCACCGCCGCCGCCGCGCAGGAGGGCCTGCGCACCACGGTGCCTGTCGATCGAGTTCATGGGCCTCATCATGACCTTCTGGACCCACGAGTGCAGCGCGAGATCCTGGCCTGGATCACTGGCGGGCTGGTGTGGCGCATCCTGCTCGGCACTCCCTGCACGGGATGGGTGCCGGCCCGCGCCACTGGGGTCGGGGACCATCCCACCACCGCTTGCAAGGCCTTCACCGCCAAGGTCCTGCGGGTCGCAGCGCGCTGCGGCGTCCACGTCATCCTGGAGAACCCTGCTCGCAGCAGCCTCTTCGGCGATCCTGAGATCTCTCGGGCGCTGGCGAGGCTTGGTGCCGTGCGCTGCGACTTCGACATGTGCGCCTACGGGGCCCCGTGGAAGAAGCCGACGACGATCTACACCACGCTGCCTGGGGGGCCCACCCTCAGTCGCCGATGCCCGGCGCCAGGGGCCCCCCATGTCGTCCTCTCCGGGAAGGTGCAGCTTGCGGGGGCCCGCCCGCGGTGGCGCACCTCTTTCGCCGAGGCGCACCCTCCTCGCCTGGCTGTTGCGCTGGCCCGGGTGTGCCGCGCAGCTGCGCCGCCCAGCAGCCTCCGCTGCCCGCGCGAGCCCCTCCTGGACGACTTCTGGGACTGGCGTCTGGCAGTCAGCGCGCAGCCAGCCCCAGCACCCAGCCGACGCGTGGCGGCCCCGCGCCTGGAGCGTGCCGCCCGGCTCGGGTGGGAGGGGGCAGTCAAGCACTGGGACGGGAAACCCTGGCGGGATGAGCTGGCGGACTTCCGTGCCCATCGCGCCGCCTGCGCCGGCGCGGCGCGCAGCCAGGCGCCGGGGCGACGCCCGCCGCGAGGCCTACGGCGAGGCCCCAGGGGCCTGCCGCCGCGCCGCCGTCCGCCCGACCACAGCTCGGCACTACCAGGAGTCGTTCGCGGAGGTCGGGCGCTGGGCGAGGCAGCACGGGCGCGAGCCGATTGGCGCAGCCGCGTGGGATGCGGTGCTGGACGAGTTCCTAGACGCCATGTTCTTCGACGGTCTGCCCCCCGCCAAGGCGACGAGGTACGCGGCGCACGGCACGGCGTACTGCTTGGGGCCCCCGCCGCGGGACCGAGCCACCCTGCCGCTCGCGAAGGCCGCTCTGCACGGCTTCGCGCGGGCCTCGCCCGAGCAGCCGCGCGACTCGCTGCCGATCGAGTACCTCCACTTGGCCTGCGACGCGCGGCTCCGCCGCGGGGGCATCCCCCCCTGGTCGCGGCCGCGTCCGTCATCGCCTTCGACTGCTACCTGCGCCCAGCCGAGGTCGTGGCCCTGACGGTGCGCCACGCGACCCCGCCGATGGCGGGCGCGCAGGACGTCGTCGTCACCATCGCTCCGCTCAACGACGACGACCCGACAGCCCTCCTGCCAAGAATTTCGAGTACGACGCCTCCACCATCGCGGGGGCCCACGACCGTGGCTGGGCGGCGCAGCCGGTCCTCAACCTGGCCGCCAGAGCGACGTCAGCGCGCCCAGGAGACCCAGCCGCTCCACTGTTTCCTGGTCTGAGCGCCGCCCGCTGGGCGGCGGCGTGCCGTGAGTACCGCTTCGAATTTGTCGATGCCCAGCTGCCGTTCTCGCCTCACTCCCTTCGCCATGCCGGGCCCAGCCACGACGCGTGGCGCTTCAGAGCGAGCGCGGCAGCCCTTCAGACTCGCGGCCGCTGGCTGGCCCCCTCATCGGTCTGACGATATGCCAAGCCAGCGGGCATGTTGCGTAAGAGGAGCGCGCTGTCGCCTGCCCAGCTCCGCAGCGCCGCCAGCGCGGCGAATAATCTCGAGCACAGGCTTCGAACGCGTTCCCAGCACCTCCCCGACCACCGCCCAGGAGTGCCCTTGCAGGGGCTTCGGGATTCTGGGCGCCAGCGAGGCCGACAGTCCGATCCTCGCTTCGTGCCAAACCTTCCAGGTCCAAGCGACCCCGTCAGGAACCTGCCGATGATCATCGGCCGCGGCGGCGCCCCAGCGCAAAATAATGTGGTCCCCTGCCTTTGTTCTTTGGAAGGCTGCCGCCGTCCCCGCAGAGGACGGCAGGATAGGTGGTGATTGAAAGTGTGACACATTATCACTGTCCGCATCGGAGTCCTCTGCAGCTTTTCTGGCTCCGCCCTTTCCCCTCCACCTCCCTCTTTTTCCTGTGCTCGATCTTTTCAATCTTGGGTGCCAGCGAGGCCGACAGTCCGAGCCTCGCTTCGTGCCAAACCTTCCGGGTCCAAGCGACCCCGTCAGGAACCTGCCGATGATCATCGGCCGCGGCGGCGCCCCAGCGCAAAATAATGTGGCCCCCTGCCTTTGTTATTTGGAAGTCTGCCGCCGTCCCCGCAGAGGACGGCAGGATAGATGGTGATGATGATGATGGTGATGATGATGATGATTGAGATGGGGATGATTATGGCGGTGATGATGATGGTGGTGATGATGGTGGTGACGACGACGATGATGACGATGCCGATGATTATGATGATGATGATGATGAGGGGGAGGAGGATGAGGAGGAGGAGGAGGAGGAGAACGATGATGATGCTGATGGTGATGATGATGCTGATGCTGATGATGTTGCTGATGATTATGGGGATGGGGATGATGAGGATGAGGATGAGGATGAGGAAGAGGATGAGGATGAGGATGAGGAAGAGGATGATGATGAGGATGAGGATGATGATGATGTTGATGATGATGAATGTGATGATGATGATGGTGATGATTGTGATGATACTGATGATGATGATGTTGATAATGATGATGTTGATGATGGTGGTGATGCTGATGGTGATGATGATGGTGATGATGATGATGATGATGAGGATGAGGATGAGGGTGATGATGATGATGATAATGTTGATGATGGAGATGGGGATGGTGATGATGATGACGTTCAAACTATTTTTCCCGACCCCCCTCCTCCGCGAAACCCCGAGGCGTCCGCCCTACGGTGGTGCCTCGACGCGGACGGCGCGGCGGAGAGTAGCAGCTGCATCTGCGTGAACCTGGGGGTCTCCAGGGAGGATCAGGGGCAACGTTCGGGGAGGAGGAGGAGGAGGAGGAGGAGGAGGAGGAGGAGGAGGAGGAGGAGGAGGCAGGAGGAGGAGGAGGTGGGAGGGGGAGCAGGAATAGGTGAGGGATCGAGGAGGAGCATCGAGGAGGAGGAGGAGGAGGAGGAGGAGGGGGAGCAGGAGGAGCTTCCCCCCTGGAGCCGGTCCCCCGAGCTCGGACTCGGGCTCGGGTTCGGGCTCGAGCTACCGCTCGGCCGCGTGCTCGGGCTCGGGCTCGGCGGGCTCGTCCCGACGCTGCCCCTCGGAGGAGGAGGCCCCCCCGGCCAAGAAGCTGAAGGGGGCGCCCGGGTCCGACGCTGCCGTGCGGCTCCGCCACATCCTGCTGAGACACCCGCAGCTGCGGCAGGCCAGGGCTCCGTTCGATTCCCCCGGCTTGATTCGATTCGATTCGGATCGGTTCCGATTCCGATTCGGTTCGGCTTCGGTCTTCGGTTTCTCCATGGAGGCCTCCCTGGCCCGCCGATTTCCGCCGCTTCGACTTCTCCCGGCTTGGCTGCCGATTTCCGCCGATCCGATGCATTTCAGGAGCCTGGAGACGAGGGTCAATGCACACGGGGGTCAGCCAGAGCGCCGGATCTTGCATGATCTTGCAGAGTCAGTGCTGTACTGACCCGGGCCAGCGCGCAGGATCTTGCAAGATTCTGCAAAGCCCGATTAACCGGGATTTGCATCGACCCGGGTCAGGACAGTTGGGGCGCTGAAGAAGGAACTTTTTCCGTTGGGGAGGGGCTCGGTGTTCCTTGATTGTTTTGCAGTTTGCCTCGGGGGGTCCTACGGTTTTCCGTGTGAAACCGAAGTTTAACTTACGGGACAAAGGGGCCTCGTCCCTTATTTAGGGTTCCTTAGGTCCACGCCCCGACTGCAGGTGCTCGAGCAGTTCGATCGCCGATGCGACCTGTCGACTCGAGCCCCGGCTCTTCCGCAGGCCGACCCGATGGCGCGGCGCGAGGGGTCGTGCAGGAGCGCGCAGGAGCGGCGAGGGCGGGAGAGCGCAGAGGGCGCGGTCCGCTCTCCTCTGGGGCGGCTCCCGAGCGGTACGTTCCGTCTCACGCGTTGCGCAGACCCCCCCTCGAGTCACGAGAAAATCACGACGGACGGTTTTTCATTAGTTCCCCTCTCTGGAGGCCCTTGCCTGCCCTCGTGACCGCGGAGAGACAGCTCGGGATGAAAAGCCGGTCCAGGCGAATGGGTCGCGACCTCGGGGGGTCGACGCTAAGAAAAATTCATGATGTCGGGGGTCTCTGTGTGTAGCAGTCAGGACATGACATGCGCCCGCAGTTTTTCGGCCCAGAGCGTTGAGCAAGCAGGGCCAGATCAGGGCCAACAGACTCCCTGAGGGCCCTACACTGGAGACCCATGCCAAGAAACACCCTGCGTGCCTCCAGCGTGCCCTGGGTTTCTCGGGTTTCCTGGGTTTCAATGGTTTGGCCATGGAAGGCGTGACGTGCCCACACCAAAAATCCATGGACGTCCCGGGGTCTAGGGTTGGGTTTCTTCTGGAAGGTTTCTTGTGGTCGAGCTCCTACTGTGAGGTTTCGGGAGTTCTCGTTGCTTCCCAGAGGTTTCTCGCCTCGGGGTGCTTTCCAGAAGCTGCGCCTCGCCGAGGGCGATCCGGGGGTCCCAGCATCGTCCCAGACGGCTCCTGGACGCCCGAGCAATAGCCTGGCAGCCCAGGTCTCCGGCGGTCTGGTTCTGGTTCAACGGGCGGTCTTTCTCTGATTTCGGCCCCCCCCCTGGGGGGGGGAGCTTGTGGGCCAGGGGGCCATCAGCGATGGGCCCTGGACTCAAAGCTGCCCCGGGGGAAGAGGTCGGGACTTTGGTCGAGTCGGGCGTGTCCCTCTGCAGAAGGAGTATTCAAAAAAACAGTCGCACAAAAAAACGGCAGGGGGACGATTTGTTGAGTGCGTTTTAGCTGTTGGAGTCGTGTGTGGAGGTTTTGGTCCAAGAGCCGCCTGTGGGGGGACATGCCCGACCGAAGAGACTCCCGGGCCGGAGGGCGGGCGCTCGGACGCGCGAACTGCTGACGACCGCGGCCGGCGGGCCTTTCCGCCCAGTCGGTGCCGGGAGCGGCGCGAGTCGCTCCCGAGCGTCCCGGGAGGCTCTCGGAGCGCCCCGGGGGCGCTCTGGAACGACCCAGAGGTCCAACGTCTTGAAAGAATCAAGACGCAGGTTGTTCGCAGTTTTCGGCCTCGAGGGGCCCTCGCCGGGCCCCGGGACCGTCAAACAACGATTCAGGATGAAAAACCGGTCCTGGGGAATGGGTCGAGACCTCCAGGGACCCCGCATTGAAAAAATCACGACGTCGGATCTCTAGGGACGACGCCCGATACATCCTACAGATTGGTATCGTTTGACCGACCCCCATCCCCATCCCAATCCCCTTCGAGACCCCCACCAAATTACCCCCCAGTTGGGGATACACCCCTCGAAGCCCCAGGGGAACGGCCTACATCCCCATCTAGGGTGGTGAATCGGCCAGTGGGGCCTAGGCCACGCCGCTGGGGATGGGGATCGGTCAAACGATGCTCAACAGAACCGCTGGATTTCAGAAATCCCCGTTGTCCGATGTCCCCGTTTGGTCCGATATGTTGACCGGCGGTTTCGCTCCGGCGTCGGCCACCAGGGGACGCTCTCGGGCCCGGGGGGCCATCCAGAACCGATCCGGGACGGAGAAGCTGCCCTCGGGGAAGTGGTCGGGACTTCTGCAGGAGAGGAAAAAACACACAGACACAATTAATCGTCGATTCCTCAGAAAATATGGGAAAATATGGGAAGTGGGGGGGAGGACAGAAACATAGGAAAATATGGGGAATCTTTTGATTTGTGTGTATCTATTTGTGTGTCCTGGGGCCCCTTCACTTCTGGGGCCGCGGATGGAAAGCCACATCGGCGGGACGTCGGGGAGGCGGCGGCAGAACTCCGACGTCCGCGGCCCGCGGGTTGCCGCCGGCGCCCCGGGCCCGAGCCCCGCCCCGCGCGCCCTCGGGCGGCGCCGTCGCGCGGGGGGGGGAGCGCGCAGAAGCTCGGGCGCTGCGCCGCCGGGGGCGACGCGCGGGGGGGGGGGAGAGACGAGCGCCCCGTTCCTGCACCCTCGGGGCCTCCAGGGGCCCCCGAGGGGCCTGAGAGGTTCGAGTAGGGGATCGACTGCAGGATCGATCTCCCCCGGGAGCAATCGTCACGTCGAGTCTGCAGACGAGCACGTGGCACTTTCGTGGTCTATCTGACTTCTGCGCATCTTCCATGGATTCGACGAGGAAAATCGGTTTCGGGGTAAATCGATTCTGTAGTCCACCCCTACTCGAATGGTGCACGCAAGGCGCATGTTTCTTCACCCCCCCCGCTTGTGGCCCCACGTGGAGTAGTTAACGCCCAGCAAGCGGGCGTGAACTTCAGACGGCCGCGGCCCCCAGGCCTCCGCTGGCGACCCTCCCCCGCGCACCCTTGGGCGGCGCCTTCGCACTGAGGGTGTCAGCAGGGGGCCCAGCGCTGGTGAAGACCTCTTAGCTGGAGGGTTTCTCCGAAGGGCTTAGGCGCCTCCTCCTCCTCCTCCTCCTCCCTCCCTCCCTCCCTCCCTCCCTCCCTCCCTCCCCTCCCTCCCTCCTCCCTCCCTCCTCCCCTCCTCTCCTCCTCCTCCTCCTCCTCCTCCTCCTCCTCCTCCTCCTCCTCCTCCTCCTCCTCCTCCTCCTCCTCCCCGGGTCGCCTACGGCCCCGGGGGAAACCGCGCACTTTCTCAGCTTGTCTGGCCCTCGTGGCCATGCCTAGCCGTCCCGAGCCCTCCTATGCTCTCCAACGCCCTCATAGCCTTCTCAGCCTCCCAGCCCTCCTGCGCACTCCTGACCCTCTCAGCCCTGCCGTGCCTGGACACACAAGCTCGATGCTTGCGCGTGCTCGTTCCTTTCTGCCCTGCCAGAGGAGGCCGAGGAGGCCGCCCTGAACGTGCTTGAGCGGCTGCTGAAGACCCAGAGCCAGTTCCCGCAGATCTGCCGCGAGCTCTCCGACTGCCAGACCGCCGAGCAGCCCGGGGCGCTCTCTGGCGACCTCGGCTGGGTGTCGCGGGGTCAGCAGGAGCCGGCCGTGGAGGACGCGGCCTTCTCGCTGAAGGCTCGGCTGCACGTAAGAGAGGTCCTTGTCGCAGGAGTGACCCTGGTAAGCAGCATTAGCGGGGCGCGGGGGGGGAGGGGGTAAGGCGTCGGGTTGTGCGCAGGCGGCCCACCAGATGGTCCCGGCTGGCCTCAAACAGGCCCACCGAGGAGTCCCGGCTGGCCTCAACAGATCCCCCAAGTAGTCCAGGAGACTGTCTGCGCGCAATCCGAAGCCTTACAGTGAGCGGCTTGAATAAGGAACACTTGCTTTTCAAAAGGGGCTCGGTCGTTCCTTAGGTTTGCATGCGTCATCTGCAGTTCCTTATGCGCTATTTGTTATGTATCGTTCCTTATGCGTCATCCCTTGGGATAAAAAGGGGCTTCGTTCCTTATTTATCGTTCCGTAGGTCAGGCCGATGACTGTAGTCCAGGAGACTGTCTGTGCGCAATCCGAAGCCCTACCAGGGGGAGGGGTCCACCCGGAGCACGTGCGCAGCGATGGCCGCATCGCCTCTGCCACGATCGGCGAGTCGCGCACCAAGAGCCACTCTTGCACAGGGTCACTCGTGCAAAACGACGCGAAGATCGGGACAAAATCGGATCGGGATAACTCGAAATCTCTCAGAATCGGCGGGTTTGGAGGATGTATTGGGCGCCGCGGCCGCTCCAGAGCGTTCCAGAACGCTCTGAGAGCGCTCCGGAACGCTCTGGAGCGATTTATCCCGATCCTAGCCCTGTTTTACCTTGCGTGCATCCGCAAGGCGAACGAGTTCAGCGACCTGGTGGTGAGCAGCCGCGGCGTGCACATCTTCCAGCGGCTCGCCTGAGGGGCGGCGGCAGCAGCTTTCACTCTATCGGGCGGCTCGTCCTCTGGGCCCCCCCTGCCCTCTGTTGCTCAGCGTCGTCTGACCGATCCCCATCCCCATTGGGCCATGGCAGCTCAGCCCCACCAGGTCACCCGCCCAGGGGGAGATAGGTCCCGCAAAATCCGAAGGGAACAGCGTATTTCGCCTCCTAGGAAGATAAGTCGGCCAGCGGGGCCCAGGGCCATGCCGGTAGAGAAAGGGATCAGTTAAACGATGCTCAGTTGCCCCCTAGCGGACTCGGCCAGCCGTACGCCGTCCTACGCCGTACTACGCCGTAGAGCGTGGCTCGCATTGCGCCCCCCATGGGCCGGAGCTGGTGGTGGAGGAGGAGGAGGACGACGAGGAGGAGGAAGAGGAAGAAGAGGAGGAGGAGAAGGAGGAGGAGGAGGAGCAGGAGGAGGAGAAGGAGGAGGACCAGGAGGAGGAGGAGGAGCAGGAGGAGGAGGAGGACAAGGACGAGGAGGAGGCAGGGGAAGGCAGGGGGAGGGGGGAGAAAGGAGGGAGGAGGAAGATCAGGAGGAAGAGGAGGAGAGGGAAGGAGGGACTGCCTGGTGGGCGGGGCTGCGAGCGTCGCGGGGTAGGCGCCGAGGCTTGGGACTACGGTGGCGCACGCGAGCTCGAGAGCGGCCCAAGAAGGTGCGCACCGCCGCCGCGTCAGGGAGGGAAGGGCGCAGGAGCAGGGGGGCGGCGTTGGGCGGACGGCAAGAGGAAAGGTGGAGCGGCAATAATCGTACGGTAGGTTCGCGTCGCTTCGACCGGCGGCGACCCCGCCGTCAGCGTTCATCGTTGAACGCCGCCGGCCACCCAGAATCGGTCGATGTTGAACGAGCTGACATTCCGCGAACGCCCGATCGTTCAAGGTTCAACGGTCCCTGAGGTGTCAGAAACCAACACCGGGGTCGACACGACACGAACCTGCCGCAGGGGCCCCGAAGGGGCCCTCCACTGCCACCGCGAGCCCCAGAGGGGCACGAAAGACGCACGCTTCTTCACTCCACGCTCACTGCCCCCCCGTTCACGTACGCCCGCGGGCGGGCAGGGAGCCCTGTGGCGCGGCGCACACGGTGCGCAAGGCCCGCTCCAAGAGAGTGCCCGGCAGCAGCTCTGTGCCGAGACGGAGCCAACGTCCGAGCCGGGCTGGAAGGGCAGCAGCTCTCCAGAAGGCAGAGGAGGCGGGAGGGACACGGCACGATCATCAGGGGCACGAGTCAAACTTCCGACGACTACAAACTTGAGAAGATTGCTCAAGCTCCTCGAGCGCGCTACTTAAAGGTAGCACAAGGGGGGGGGAGGGGGGGGGGGGGTGCGAACGTCCCTTGGGAGTCCAGAACGGAGGGAATCTCTGGATCCAGAGACGCCCAGGCGCTCCTGGGGACTCTTCGGACATATCTTGGGGCATCCCGGGGCTTCCGAGACCGTCGTGGAGGGTGCCAGGAGGAAAAGGCGGAAGAAGGGGAGGGTGACGGGGACAGGGGCGAAAAGAGGGAGGGGGTCGGGAAGGGAGCCTTGCGGCGCACACAGCGCCCAAGGTCCGCTCTCCAAGAGAATGACTGGCAGCAGCTCTGTGTTGGGACGGAGCCAACTTCCGAGCCAGGCTGGAAGGGCAGCAGCTCTCCTCCGGAAGGCAGAAGGGGGCGGGATTGGAGAGGAGGGCAGAGCCCAGTTTATCCCGATCCGATGTTGTCCCGTTCTTGGCCTCGCCTCCGAGCGGCGTCGGCGCACCTGCTCACCCTCCACATTTCTCTGACTCTTCCTCCCCATCATCCACCGCCTCCTCCTCCCTCCCCACCCCCGCCCCTCCCCGGCCCTTCCCCGCCCCCGTCCTCCACAGGAGGCCCTCCCGGGCCCGCGCGCACGAGCAGCGGCATCGGCGCCGGCCTTCCTGCCGCCCTCCCCCCCCCCGCCCCGGTCGTTGCGAGGAGGGCGCTAGCTGGCACCTCCCAGGAGGCCCCAGCGGCGCCGAGCTTGGTATCGGAAAGCCAGCCGCAGGTGGTCGTCGACCGCGGAGGCCCATCGCCCTCCTCCTCCTCCTCCTCCTCCTCCTCCTCCTCCTCTCCTCCTCCTCCTCCTCCTCCCAACGCCGCCCCCTGCTCCTCCTCCTCCTCCTCCTCTCTCCTCTCCTCCTCCTCCTCCTCCTCCTCCTCCTCCTCCTCCTCCTCCTCCTCTCCTCCTCCTCCTCCTCCTCCTCCTCCTCCTCCTCCTCCTCCTCCTCCTCCCCCTCCTCCTCCTCCTCCTCCTCCTCCTCCTCCTCCTCCTCCTCCTCCTCCTTGTCCTCCTCCTTGTCCTCCTCCTTGTCCTCCTCCTCCCCCTCCTCCTCTCCTCCTCCTCCTCCTCCTCCTCCTCCTCCTTCCTCCTCCTCCCTCCTCCTCCTTCCTCCTCCTCCTCCTCCTCCTCCTCCTCCTCCTCCTCCTCCTCCTCCTCCTCCTCCTCCTCCTCCCTCGTCATCCTCCATCTCCACCTCTGTCTCTACTACTGTCGGGTCCTCCTCTCTTCTCCTCCTCCTCCTCATCTTCCTCCTCCTCCTCCATCTCATTATCCTCCTCCTCCTCCTCCTCCTCCTCCTCACTTCATCCTCCTCCTCCTCCTCCTCCTCTCCGTCCTCCTCCCTCCTCATCATCATCATATCATCATCCTCATCCTCATCCTCATCCTCACCTCCTCATCCTTCTCTTCCTCCCCTTCCGCTTCCTCCTCCTCCTCCTCCTTCCTCTCCGCTCCTCCTCATCCTCCTCCCTCCTGCTCCGCCTCCTCCACCGCCATCATCGTCCTCCTCCTCCCCTCCTCCTCCTCCTTTCTTCTCCTCCTCGTATTCCCTCCTCCTCCTCCTCTCCTCTCCCGCCTCCTCCTCCGCCTCCTCCTCCTCCTCATCATTCCTCCTTCCTCCTCCATTTCCTCTCCTCCTCCCCTCCTCCGCCTCGCTCCGCCATCCTCCTCCTCCTCCTCCTCCTCCTCCTCCTCCTCCTCCTCCTCCTCCTCCTCTCCTCCTCCTCCTCCTCTTCCTCCTCCTCCTCCTCCTCCTCCTCCTCCTCCTCCTCCTCCTCCTTCTGCTCCTTCTCCTCCACCTCCTCCAAGGTTGCCCTGAGCGCGGCCTAAGCCATACGACGGGCCCCCTTGTCTCAGCCGCCAACCTAGTGTCCGCTCCGCGGGCCTGGGGAGCCGATGTGTCGCCCGTCGTGTGCGACCGCAGCTTGACGCCGCCGTGCCAGTGCGCGCTGCACGGCGGCTCGCCATGCGCAGGCCGCGGCTGGCGCACTCTTGGAGCTGCTGCGACCGCGGGACCCGCTCTACATGGCGGAGGAGGGCGGGGCGGGGCTCCACGCGTGACCGATGGCCCACCGCTGCTCGTGCCTAGGATCCTCGGCGGGGGCTCCGAGGGCACGTTGTTCATCGACCCGCTGGGCGTGGTGGGCGCTCTGGGGCGCTGGCTTCTGGGCTTGTGCTCGGCTGGCTCTGGCTGGCCTGGGCACGCCGTGCAGCTGGTGCTTGGGTGTTGGAGTCCCCGTGGAGGTCGTCGAGGAGACTGTGGACCTCCCGACAGGTTTCACGAACCTGCTGGACCTCCTGGTGAAGCAGCGCATGTGTCTTGGGCCGCTGATGGCGTCTTGCCGCCGTCGTCGGAAGGCACACCAGCTGCGTCGCCTCCGCCTGCTGGAGTTCATCGGGTTCGGCGCGCTGGAGGTCATGGAATTATTGCTAGGGATTACAATTCGGATCGGCCTGAAGTTGCTGGCCCTTGTCCCGTGGCTACATGATAGCCCACATGGTCCCTTTCGAGCTTCCTGAAGTCGCTCTTCCTCGCCCAGCTCCTGGGCGTGGTGGACGCTTCTTCGGTGCTCGTCCACGCCGTGGCGCTCTCCAGCCGCTTCCTGGGCCTCGCGGACGTCTGTTCAAGGTCTGGACTCACTGAGTTGGCGTGCAGAACAGGGCTCCCCACGACGTCTTCGTCTTCGGTCACACGCTGACCGCGGCCATCCCGCCCTTCAACTTCCTTGACCTGGAGGCGGCCTGGGCGGCGAATGCGGAGAAGCTCCTCGGGCTCATCCAGCACGTGGAGACGGGGATGCAACGACCGTGGCCTCTGAGCCGCGGCGGACGAGGGCCCTAGATGCGACAGTCACCTCTGCTGAGCGCCTGTGCCTGTTTCGTCGCGCGCATGTAAGCCCTGCGCGGCCTGACTGGAACTGCTGCCGCGCAGATGCTGTCGCCATCGGGCCGCGCCGCATGTCGTTGTCATGGCTCCGAGCCTTCCTGGAGCACCCAGGCTGTGTAGCCGCATGCCAAGGGGGGGGGGCACAAGAGCTGCCTGGGCAGCCACGGTGAAGCCCCCCCCCTCCCGAGGGACCGAGCGGCGAAGGGGCATCTCCCCCGAGGAACCGGAAAGAAAAAGGGGGGAGATGCAGTGCGGCCTGGGCCGCCACGGTGAAGGAGGCATCCCAGGCCCCATCCGAGGAACCGAAAAGAACTAGGCATCTCTTCTTCCGATCAGTATGTTTCTTTCTGCTCGTGCGCCCGGGCGCTCGCTCCGCGATCCTTTGGGCGGGAGGGCGCGCCACCGTCTCAGGCCGTGGAGCGCTGCAAATGCAGGCCCTCCCTCTCGTGCGCCCGTCTTGCGCACCGCGCGGCGGCCGCCACCAGCGTCGCATCCTCCTCCTCCTCCTCCTCCTCCTCCTCCTCCTCCTCGTCCTCGTCCCCGTCCTCCGCCAACTCCTCCGCATCCTCATCCTCCTCCTCCTCATCCTCATCCTCATCCTTCTCCTCCCTCCCCCTTCTCCTCCTCATCCTTCCCCCACCCCTTCCTCCTCCTTGTCCTCCAAGGTTCCTTCTCCTCTTAACCTCGTCCTCCTCCTCCTCCTCATCCTCTTCCTTCTCCTCCTTCTCCTCCTCCTTTTCCTCCTCCTCCTCCTCCTCCTGCTGCATTCCTTCTCCTTGTGAGTCCCCCCTGTCTCACCGAGGAGACTTCCTCACCGCTTATGACGTTGAAGCTTAAAGAGTGACAACAGCTTCACAGATGGAGGGCGGGTCGTTTTCAATATGTGGCTCTCGCTGTAGAGCCGCGCACATTCGTTTTTCTAAAATTTGCAAGAGCTTCACGGATTGAAGGCGGGTCGTTTTCAAAATGTGGTTCTCGCCGTAGAGCCGCGCACATGCGCTGTACAGAATGCAAGAGTTACACGGATTGAGGGCGACCCGTTTTCAAAATGTGGTTCTCGTTTTAGCGACGCACACATCCGAATTTAAATATTCAAGAGATTCAAGGATTGAAGGCGGCTCCTTTTCAGAATGTGGTTCTCACTTCAGCGTCGCGCACATTCGTTTTCAAAATTTGCAAGAGTTTCACGGATTCCCATGATCAGCGTACCATAAATGGTGTTTTGGAAGGGTTCAGGATTACGAGAGCGCAACAGTTCTGTTGATTCGCGGTGTTGAAGTCCCAGGAATGGCGTTCTGGCACGATTCAGGATCGTCAGGGCAGCAGCCTGGTTGATCCGTGGCGTTGGAATCCCGAGAACAATGTTTTGGCATGCCTCAGGGTCTTCAAACGGTTGTCTTCAAACGAGGCAGTTCCCTCAGGGGAAATGAGCCGTTGTAGGGGCCTATTGAGAGGGAGTTGGGAGGGAGAGTTTACTCCAACCTCGTTGATGACTCTTGAGTTTACTCTGGTCCTCCTCCCTCCTCCTCCTCCTCCTCCTCCTCCTCATCCTCCTCCTCCTCATCCTCCTCCTCTTCCTCCTCCTCCTCCTCCTCCTCCTCCTCCTCCTCCTCCTCTGTTGTCTCGACGTCATCATCATCATCATCATCATCATCATCATCATCATCATCATCATCATCATCATCATCATCATCATCATCATCATCATCATCGTCATCGTCATCGTCATCGTCATCGCATCATCAGCAGCAGCAGCATCATCATCATCGTCGTCATCATCAGCAGCATCATCATAATCATCATCCTCATCATCAGCAGCAGCATCATCATTATCATCATCAGCAGTATCATCATCAGCAACAGCAGCATCAGCATCATCATCTGCATCATCAGCATCAGCAGCATCATTATCATCATCATCGTCCTCGTCATCAGCATCGTCAGCATCATCAGCATCAGCATCATCAGGAGCACCATCATCATCTTCATCATCATCGTCAACCTCATCATCATCATCACCATCAGCAGCAACATCCTCAGCATCTTCATCATCATACTCATCATTAGCATCATCATCAGCAGCATCATAATCATAATCATCGTCCGCCTCACCGTCAACTTCATCATCGTCGTCATCGGCATCATCAGCAGCATGATGATCAGCATCATAATCAGCATCATCATCGTCATCATCATCATCTTGCTCGATGACGAGCTGGTACTTTGGCCAGCTTGCATGCGTTGAATCCAGTCCTTTGTCATTTACCAAGCGAGAGCACTTCGCGACCCGCTGAATTCGATACCCCAGGTTAGAGTGATATCCGAGCCGTCTTCCGAGCAGTTGCACAGGATTCTCCAGCGACAGGCCCCAGACTGCAGCGGTGCCGGGCTTGAGAGATGGTCCCGGTCCCTGGTCCCTGCCCATCCTCCTCCTGCCCCCGCCCTCGTGGTTGCACGCCTCCAGACTCTCAGCCGAAAGGTCGAGCCTGAGATCGTCTTCCGTTTACTTGGCACAATTTGTCACGGCCGGCATACGTCCTCACGGTTTTCCCCGAACATTTTGCCATGCAGATTCTGCAGCAGAGTAAGCGGTGATAACCTGCAGCATTGTCTTGAATGTCCCACTGCCCTGAGTTTTGTCAACGAGCTAACTCTTTTTGATCCAAGCTGCCTTGGTCCATGAGGCGGTTTGGGGGGTTTTCAACGCGCCAGAACGTCCCAGGTGGTGTACCTTACCGCCCAGTGGATTTCTCACTCTCGCTCGGGGCTTCGCGCGACTGCCCGCTTGAATTCTCGGGTTCGGCACATCATACACGAAATGCTCAGGTAGGTGCGGTGTGCGTCTCAGTCGTGATGCATTCCGCCTACTGCGTCACAGTCGTGATGCGCTCTTGCTGCGTCACAGTCGTGGTGCGCTCCACATTCCGCTTCTCTGTTGTCTTCCGTCTCTTGTCTTTTCTCCCCTTCGCTCTCTCTCTCTCTCTCTGTCTCTCTCTCCTTCGCTGCCTGCCTTGCGCTCCGGCTGTCACTATACATAGTGCGTCTTGATGATGCAACATGATGTGGATGGGACGTTTCCTTTTATCTTCATGCGAACCAAAACGTCGATGGTAACACTCGCAGTTGCAACTTAGCTGGACCCCCTGGTTTTCCCTGAGGTCCTTCTCTGCTGGCTGGACCCCCTGTTTTTTTCCGGTGGGTCTTCTCTGCTGTATGTCTGCTGCTACGCATGTTACCGCCCATGACTCTAATCACGTTTCCCGTCTTTAACTTCATAATGCCCGTAATTTTCCAATCGCGGTTTGTGGTGGAGATTTCGTGCAGTGGAGCATTCGATCATCATCATCATCAGCAGCATCATCATCATCACCAGCAGCAGCAACATCAGCATCAGCATCAGCATCATCACCACCATCATCACCATCATCACCATCATCATGATCATCCTCATCAACTTCATCATCATCATCATCATCAACATCATCATCATCCTTCCCTCACCCCTCCCCTTCGGAATTGCAGAGGCGACCTGCTCATCGCCTGGAAGCCGGCGAAGGTATCCACCCGCCGGCTGCGAGGCGGGCTCCCCAGCCAGCTGGAGCAGTGGGCCGCGCACGAGGCCCTCCGCGAGGGGTCGGCACTCGCCCCCCTTCGCACGACGCACGGCCCACGAGCATCAGATCGCAGCGTCTATCCTCCTCACCTTCTTCGTCATCCTCCGCTGCCTCCTCAGAAGCAGGCCGTTTCCTCCTCCATCTCTTCCTCGTTCTCCTCTTCCTGCTCGTCCTGATCCGCATCATCGTCACCGTCATGGTCATCAATCTCTCTTGCGAGAGCAGGTGGGACAATCGGGCGGGCCAACACGTTCACGTGATGATGTCGTAGCCTCGAGGAAGAGCGCGGCAGCACACGTCATAGCACCTATCTTTATATGTGTGACCAGCTGTGGGAGAGCTGGAGTATTCTGCTTTGAGCTTGGAAAGCAAGTCAAGCAGACTTGTTGGGTCGAGGACGCGATGCGCAAATTCATTCGAAAATAACAGGGGTCAAGATGTCCTGGCTACTGCGACAAATTTTCAGAGAGAAAATCTATGTTGCGCATGGTGATACGGGAAAACATTGCCTGTACCAAGCACGAAGTATGGCCCAGCGGATTGCGCACATCTGCGTCGGAGAATATTTTTACTTCAAGTGTACGAATATCATCCTGCGTACCATCTTCCTAAGTCGGCTAGCAGTGACGTTGCAGTTGTGGCGAGGAAGCAATTCCGGGGAAGATTTGCCATCGTCCCACCGTGCGGTCGCATTCTTTTCACGCCACATCAACGCGGAAGTCACAGTGGTTCATACATTTGGTCCTAGGAACAGACACATTGTACGCGGTCGGCGTACGTTGATGTGTAGTTCCCCCATGTTGTTGGCAAAGCAGAGTCGGATAAACAGTAGTTGAATGTGGGTTGTGTCTGCATTTTCCCATATTGCGAGGTGATGGGCGTTCTTGTTGCGTTGGCAAACCATTCAGCCATGGACATGTGGTATCAGATTCACATGTTCAGGATGAGGTTCGAACAGCGCTCAGTGACACAATGACATCAAGTGTTCGATTGCTGTATTGTCCGCCTCGCATGACGTGAGCGGCGCCTTGAGGTCAGCCCCCGAGGGCCCCGAGCGCGTCTCCCCTCCTGGGGTCGCTTGGCTTTATGTGAGGGGCTGCGGTCAGTGGGCCGACATCATCACGTTCTCTATGTTGTACATGCTCATGCGGTGTGTCAAGACACCGACTTTGTTGGCCGAGGGTTTGCGGTGGCCCACTGACCGTGGTTTCAGGATTTGTAATTCATTGCCTGGCATTTGTGCTGTTCAGAAGGCTCACACGGGGCTTGTATGTATGTATGTATGTATGTATGTATGTATGTATGTATGAATCAGCATCAGCATCTTCATCATCATCAGTTCGAACCGCCTTATCACTGCCCTTCCTCATACCTCCCCGTCCTCCTCATCCTCCTCTTCCTCCTCCTCCTCCCCCTTTCCCTTTCTTTTTCATTATGATCCTCCTCGTCTTCCCCCGTCTACTCATTTTTTCTTTTGGCGCTGGGGAGGGCCGATTTGTCAGCACGCCCGGGCGTGGTTCGGACAACGTGTTAGGACGGGGTCCATTTGCTCGTTATGAGCGGGGTGTGGCCGCAGGAGGAGGTCGACGAGGAAATGTCTGGGGATTCTCGAGCGAGATACGCAAACACGATACGCAGGCTACCCAAGTCGATTTCGATCTTTTCGAGGCGACCCAGGCGCACGCAGTTTTTTCGACCAAGAAAGCTGCCGTGGTGATCGCCTACCCGCTTGCTGCTATAGCAGCCGTCTTCACAGCTTCTGTGCCTGCACTGGCCATTCGGTAGCGACCTGTGGCTGGTGACGATTGATGACACTCTTGCAGCGCGCACGAAAGCAAAAGCGGTACGCTGAGGGGCGGCTGTTGTTTCTCACCCGCATTTGGTTCTCTTTTGCTGGATTCGCGCTTTCCATCCAGCTGGTGCGGCGGGCTGGAACACCAGCTAGCCCTGCGCGCGCTTCACGGCCGCAGTCTCTTTGCGTGCCCTGTACGCCCGCTAGCACGAGCACGTCGGCGGCTGTTGGAAAGGGTCTGTCAGTTCGAAGGGCATCACATCCCTGTCTCCATTTACGACCTCGCTTCCTGCTTTCCAGCAATGCGCTCGCAAGGCCGCCACAGTCGGCTACGCCCTCACATACGCAATCCAGTTTGGCTCCGCGTGCTGAACGCAGGCACGACGCCGCGGCACCTCCATCCCCAGCCTCGCTTCCAGCGTATGAACAATTTGCAACGATTCATTCCCTCAGCTGCCGTCGCGGATTTTGTCGTTCGCCTTAATTGAATTCCGCGACACGCACCATGGACTGCGTCGTCCGATTTGCAGCAAAACTTCATTATCCTGATGAGCTTCGGGCATGCCTTTTCTCCTGTGCCGGGTTCCACCGTTTCGGTCCCCAACACTTTTTGTGCAAGTCCCTTTCAGCCCTTAGTCTCTGTCATGCCTATGCCCGCAGTCTCGGTCACTACATGTCTGCTTGCGGCCCCACGCCCAGGAAACAATACGCGGGCAGTGTGTCCAGCAAGTCGAAGCAGCGAGACATGTGTGTCTTGCCCCCCCGCCGCCCCCACTACCTTAGAGGGAGGGGGAGGTGAAGGAGAGGTTCCGCGAAACCAGGATCCGCCGACCCAGATCCCCCGACCGACCGAGATCTGAAGCGAAACAGAGGGTAGGTTCTGTCAGACAGAGATCCCCCAAAGGCATGGTGCACGCTCGATGGGGACTCGATCCTGGTCCTGTACAACCTCCTCTCCACTGCCCCGCCCTGGACCCCTCCTCCCTTCCCCTCCTCCCCTCCTCTGTCCCCCTGCCATCGCCCTCTTCTTCCCGCCTGCCCTTTCCCCCCTCCTCCCCAGAACTCCGACGTCGTGATTGTCTTGTCACCACGTGGACCCCGGAGGTCGGGACCCCCTCCCAAGGGCCAGCTCTTCCTCCCGAGCCGCTCTCCTTGACGGCCCCACGGCCCAGCGAAGGGGCCCCCTTGAGGTCGAAGGCTGCCGGCGCCTCCCGCCGCCCTGCTCTCGCAGCGAGAGGAGGGGGTGGGGGTCAGCTCTGCACCCCCGCCACCCTCTGCACACCCTGCTCCTCCTCCTCATGCTCCTCCTCCTCCTCCTCCTCCTCCTCCTCCTCCTCCTCCTCCTCCTCCTCCTCCTCCTCGCCCCCTTTCTTTCCCAGAGGCCTCCCAATGGGGTCCGATCGGTGGATCGCGCCGCGTCGCCGATGCATCGACGATGCGGCTCGATGTGGAGCCCGATGTTCTCCACGCGGACGGCGCCGATGCATCGCTCACGTCGCCGACGCAATCGACCGACCCCATCTACTCCGACCCCATCTGGGAGGCCTCTAGAGGAGCGGGTGGGGGTCAGCTCTGCACCCTTCCTCCCCGCCACCCTCTGCACATCCTCCTCGCCCTTTGCACCGAGGAAACGGGTCCTGAGGGAAGCGGGTCCTAGATCCTGGGGCCTTCCCCCAGGACCGAATTCTTCATCCTGAACCGTCCTCTCAGAGTCCTGGTGCCCGTGGAGGGCCCCGAGCGCCCGAGAACACCGAAAAACTTCCCCTCAGGACTCGTTTCCCCCATGACCAGTCCTTCATCCTGAACTGTCCTCTCACAGTCCCCGGGGCCCGTGGAGGGCCCCGAGCACACGAGAATTGCGAAAAACCTCTAGGGACCCGTTGCCCTCAGGGCTCGTCTCCCCCCCCCACCCCCCTGGCGACGCCCCCGCCCCCTGCCTTCTGAAGGAGCCGCTCCATTTACCTTCCCCCCCACCCCACCCCACTCCGCCCCTTGCTCCTGCTCCTGCTCCTCCTCCTCCTCCTCCTCCTCCTCCTCCCGCCCGCTCTCCACCTCCTTCCTCCTCCTCCGCCCCTCCCCTGCTCCTCCTCCTCTCCTCCTCCTCCCCTCCTCCCTCCTCCTCCTCCTCCTCACCCCTCCTCCTGCTGCATCCTCCTCCTCCTCCCCTCCCCTCCTCCTCCTCCTCGCCTCCTCCTCCTCTCCTCCGCCTCCCCCCCTCCTCACCTCCTCCTCCCTCCTCCTCCTCCCCCTCCTCCTGCTGCGCCTCCTCCTCCTCATCCTTCCTCCTCCTCCGCCTCCGCCTCCTCCGCCTCCTTCCTCCTTCGCTCCTCCTCCTCCTCCTCCTCCTCCCTCCGCCTCCTCCTCCGCCTGCTCCTCCACCTCCCCTCCTCCTCCTCCTCCTCCTCATCATCATCATCATCATTATCTTCAGCCTCCAGCATCATCACCAAAACAAAATCAGCACACATCAGCTCACAGCATCATCATCCTTCTGCTCCTCCTCCTCTCCTCCTCCTCCCCTCCTCCTCCTTCTTCTCCTCCTCCTCCTCCTCCTCCTCCTCCTCCTCCTCCCCCTCCTCCCCCTGCTCTTCCCACAGGTCGCCGGGGCCCGCGCCGAGGAGCCCCCCGCGGTGGCGCCGCGGCTCGGCCGCGGAGTGGCGGGTCTGGTCTTCTTGGCGCGCACGGGCGCGGCGCTGCGCGAGGCCGAGGCCGCGCTGGCCACGGGCGCCGCGGAGGCGTCGGTCACGGCCGTCGTGCAGGGGCGGCCCCCGCAGGGAGGCCTCGGCGCCGAGAGCGGCGGCCGCGCCCTGGAGGCGTCGGCGCCGCGGACATCGACGAAGACAAAACGGCATAAGCATAAACTTTTGGCGCTCCGCGCGGATCTCTTGGATACACGCTGGGCCCCCTCTTCTTCTAGTACAGTCGGCCCGACTGCACTATAAGAAAGCAAAACGCCATAAACATAAACTTGGCGCTCCGCGCGGATTTCTTGGATCCGCGCTGGGCCCCCCGGCGGCGCCTCCAGCGCCGCCCCTGGAACGCTCCACGCGCCAGGGAGGGGGGCCCAGCGCAGATCCAAGAAATCCGCGCGGAGCACCCAAAGTCTATGTTTATGCCGTTGTGCTCTCTTCTAGTTCACTCGGGCCACTGAAAATGGAGCACTCACTTTTCAAGAGGGGCGCGGTCGTGCCTCAGGCCTGCATGCATTTCACGACTTCCTTGGCGTTGCTGCATGGAGTTATTGGGAAAAAAGGGGCCTCGCTCCTTCTTTGTCGTTCCTTAGGTCAGCGGCCCGACTGTAAAGCGGGGCCCTTCGCCAGATGCGGAGGGTTCTCGGAAGGTGCTCCCGCCTCGGGTCGAAGGGCCCCCAAAAAAGCCACAAGCACCCGCGTTCGATGGCCCGCGGAAAAATCCTCGGATCGGCGCTGGTGCCCCCCTGGCGGTGCCTCCGGAGCCGCCTCGGATCCGAGAAACCAGCGCGGACCTCCCAAAGTTTATGTTTATGCCGTCTCTTCTTCCCTACCGGGGTGCTTTCCAGCAGCTCCGCCTCGCCGAGGGCTCTCCAGGAGTGTCCGGACCGTCCCGAACGGCCGTTGGAGGCCGAAGTCGGGCATATCCCTCTACAGGAGGAAGACTCTGACATAGTCCAAAAGTAGTGTGGGAACAATGTTTTGACCACGTCTGACTATTCTTGAGTGCTTGTTGGCTCCCTTGTTAAGTTTCTTCCAAAGTCCGCCTGTGGGGGGGGGCGTGCCCAGCCTCATTGGAGGCCCGGGCTCTGACCCGGGAAACACCAGGCGTGGGGGGGGCGTTCTAGCCCTCGCGCTGCGCACATTCGTTTCAAACATTTGCCAGCAGCCACGAGGATCGTGGGCGGTTCCTTCTGCAGATGGGTGCGTATTGGTGGGAGCACGCCTGGAACATGCGAGGAGAGGCCAAGCGGCGCGTTCATCATCATACGCAGTGCTGCAATGGTGCTTTCGCTCAGGCCCGCCTGGGCGCCCCGCGCCCCCAAGGGACGGGCTCTCGCAGCCGGGTGGCGGGCCTCTGTTCTGTCCTGCTCCTTCTCCAGATCGGCTTCTCGCCGCAGCGGTGCGCACATTCGCCTCCACACTCTGACCAGGCTGTGGACGGCCCCTTCCCGAAGAGGGGCTCTCGCTGGGGGAGGGGGCGGTCGCGCGTCCGCAGCCCTGGCCCTAAAGCGGCCTGCCCGCTCGGAGGCGGCCTCCCCCGCGGCCACCGGGAGGCGCGCACCGGGGGCAGGCTCTGCACGGCGTCCCTCTGGCGTGTGGAGTGGGAGCCCATGCCAAGAAAACACCCTGCTTGCCTCACGTGAAAATGAGCGCCTCGCTCGAGGCATCCTCCAAATCTGCTCCGAAAGCGAAGGATGTTCGGACAGACAACAAGCAAACCGCTGGAGACATCTCCACAAGTCGGCCGCGAACGGGACCGTGAGATGACCACGGGCGGCTCCCCTTGGGGGAAGGGTCTCCTGGGTCTCCTGGGTTCCGGTGGTTCTACGGTGGCAGGCGTGGCGCCTCCCTGCCAGAGATCAGTGGGCGTCCTGGGGTCTCGGGGTCGGGTCTCTGGCGGGAGGCTTCTTGTGCTCGAGCCCCCACTGTCGCCGAAGGTGGCCCTGCTGCGCTCCTCCGAGGGGCTGCACCTGGGCCGGCTGAGCATCGTGCGCGCCGCGCTGCGCGGGGGCGGCAGCGTGCCCGACGAGAAGGAGGTGAGGCGGAGGCTGGCGGCGCTGGGGCACCCGGTGATCGGGAACGGGCAGTTGTGCGCGCGGAGCTCGGCATCACGTGCGCACGAGAGGGAGTGGAGGAAGAGATGCTCAGAAGGTGTGCTGGGCGTGGACGGCCCCTTCTCGAGCGCAGAAGAAGGAGGAAAGAGGGCGTGTGAGGACGAGGAGGAGGAGGAGGAGGACGAGGAGGATGAGGAGGTCGGACGAGGATGGGATGCGGATGAGGAGGCTGGAGGAAGAGGTAGGAGGAGTTGGAGGAGGAGTTCGAGAAGGAGGAGGAGGAGGAGGAGGAGGAGGAGGTGAATGTGGGCGTTGGATATGGATGATGGGCGGCGGCGAGCGAGGGGGGGAAGTGAGAGGGAGAAGGCCTTCTCTCAGAAGGCGGCGGGGCTTCTCAGAGGCCTTCGCGCCTTCTGAGAAGTGTTCTGCGTCCTGGGGGGAGGCTCGGAAAGCTTCACATAAGGCTGGGGGACTTCCGGGCCTTCTGAGATAGCTTTCTCCTTCTCACTTCCCCCCCTCTCGCTCGCCGCCGACACTGGGCCACGGCATCTCAGCCCCACAAGCCCACCCTCCCGGGTGGGGATAGGCGCCGCGCAGCCCGAAAAGGAACAAGC